AAAAATTGACAACATGACACCGAAAATATTTGATCTCATTTGCTGCAAACATGAGGTCAAGTGGGCAACCCCCTTCCATAATATCTATGTCTAGGATGTCAAGCAGACCAGTTGTCTCACTCTACATATTCCAGACTCAACCAATTCAGATAATGAGCATTTCAGCAGTTCCAGCACTTCGCAGGAACTTCCTAATTGACTCGATTTTTTTATCCATCTACTCTATATCAGAAAATTGCTAAGCTCCCTGCAAGTTTGTAACTTCCAATAACAATCATCTCTGCAACTGCAAGTAGAAACTAACATTGAAACTTTAAGAAGTATGGATACTCAACAATCTCAATGCATGAACTTCATTTCAGCAATCAGCTAAAAGAAAATATAAGTGCAGTACCCCAACAAACAACCCGAGAAAATAAACATTATTAACAAGAAAGTGCATAGTCACCCAATAAAAATGAAAGCCAAATACAAACCAATTGGGGGATTTTTTTCATACCGGGCCTTTGAATCCGGTATCTTCAAACATCCAACGCTGGTCGACTGGGACCGAGACGGTTTTATCTTGGCAGCAAATTTTGGTTCGATTGGCTTTAAGGACGGAAATGGACGGCTTGGATGTAGCAGCAAGTGAGAATCCGAGAAATGGGGTTTTTTTCAAAGAAGAGGAAAATGGTTTCTGAGAGGATTCAGTTAGCAATAGTGAAGATGAAGACGCGCATTGTACCGCTATGGCCATTGATAAGCTTTTCTTTTGCTGTTTACTATGTTTCCCCCTCCAATTGTGAAACTGAAGCAGGCAATCAGCAAAGTGGGGATAAAATAGCAGCAGACAGAGGATAAGGTGCATACATGGCTATGCTTGAAAATTTTTACTTATTGGCTTATAAGTGACTTTTACCATAGATAAGTTTCGAGTTAATACCCTAAATAGTCACCGAACTTTGTCAAAAGTTCCCAGGAGGTTACCGAACTTCAAAACTTCCCTAATTAATCACTAAACTTTGCAAACAGTTCCTAGGAGGTCACTGAACTTCAACACTACCCTAAATAGTCACTGAACTTTGCTAAAACTTCTTAAGAGGTCACCGAACTTTGCAAATTGTGACCCTATACATCAATAATTTAGTGACTCCCTCAAAATTTTTTGCAAAGTTGAGTGACTAATTAGGGTAGTTTTGAAAAAGTTTAGTGACTATTTAGAGTAGTTTCGAAATTCAGTGACCTCCTAGAAACTTTTTTCGAAGTTCAATGACTAATTAGGGAAGTTTTGAAGTTCAGTAATCCCCTGAAAACTTTTAGCAAAGTTTAGTGACTATTTAGGTTATTAACCCGATAAGTTACTGATTTTAAAACTACAAATCTAGTATCAAAACAAGTGATTTATTTTTAAGAGGAAATTACAGCCACACGGATTTTTAAAATACAATTTTCACAAATCTAAAATCAACTTTAATAATACATCAATCAGGTTTTAATTAATGATTTTTAAATTAATTTTTATTTAAATCAAATTTCAAACCCTAATTTTTCATTCAGTCCCCTCTCCCTTTCTCCAAAACCGACTTATTTCTCTCCCTCTCCCCCATCTCTCTATCCCCGTCGCCACCACTCCGCTGGCACTACCACCACCTCATCGGCACCACTATCGCCTCTATCTATTATCGCATCTCACTATGTCTTTGTCGCTGGAGACCGCCATCTCCTCCGCCATTCTCCCCTTTCTATCGCAGATCTGTTATTTTTCGTTTGTTTTTTTTTTCGAGTTTGAACGGTTTTGGACAAATAGTTGTTTAGATTTGAGATGAGATCTATGTTTTGGATTTCAATATGGCGGATATGGTGGATTTGTGTGATTTGTGGAAATCATGGTGGCAAGGGCGGTGCAGTGCTTATGTTGGTGGTGTGGTGGTTTAGGTGCTGTGGGGAGGGGAGGGGGGTTTTGGTGGTCTGGCTGCAAAGGAGTGGGTCTGGCTGTGGCAGCAACGGTGAGGATGGTGATGGTAGGTGGCGACATGTTCAGATCGGTCTGTAGCTGTCGCGGGTGGTGTTGTTGTGACCGTGAGTTGGTGAATCTACAGGCAATGACGGTGATGAAATTGGTGATGGTGTGGTGGTGATTTGAGGTGTGGTGTACTGGCAATTGCATTGGTGGTTGTAGTGGATTGGGGTTAGGGTAGGGCGCGACAAAGGCGGTGGTGGTGGCGGCAATGTTGGTGTAGTGGTGGTGGTGATAACGATGGCTGTGATGTTTGAAACGTGGATTTTGCTGATGGGAAGTGATGGTGATTGTGGTGTTGGTATTGGCGCTAAAGACGACGGTGGTGTTGAGTTGGTGATGATCACAAATGATTTGTTGATTGTGACCAATAAATTGGTTGGTACGTGACCTGTAAAGAATAAATTGTGACCAATAAATAGTGTAACCTACAAATTTATTAATTTGTGACCAATAAAAGTAATATGTAACCTATAATTTGATATTTTGTGACTTATAAATTTCGTGATTTGTGATCGGTGAACAAATTGTGGCTTTTAAATTTTTAATTTGTGATCGATGAATGAACTGTGATCTATAATTTTTTTTAATTATGACCTTAAAATTTTTGATTTGTGATCACAATGCATAGATCTGTGACCTTTATATATTTATTAATAAAATTTATAATTAATTAATTAATTCATAAATAAATTTTAATGAAAACCTGATTTTTGAAATTTAAAACCTCTTGTCTTAATTTTGAAATGATGATACTAAAAACCCTGATTTATGTATTGTTCCCTATTTTCAATGAAATTTATTGTATTTAATGATATTTGAAAATAAAAATTACTTATAACAAATGACAATTACACTTGAAAATAAATTACTATTTTTATGAAACAAAAAGAGCAATTTTCATTATAATAAATCGTCGCAAACTAATAGCGAGATGAAGAAAGAAATACAATCGCACAATCATTCCAGTTGCAAT